TCTATGTATTCTTTCAGGTATCCATCTCGGACTAAGTTCTCCAAGAATGACTTGAACACCCTGCAGCTCTCGGTGCGATGCCCGACATCCCCGGTGATATGAACACCTTACTGTTTGATCACGGGTGGAGGATCGCTTTGCATCCTGGGCGGCCATTTGAAGAACGGCTCGCGTTTGGATCTTATGGAGCAACCTGAAGATGGGTTCCTTGAAGACGTGTGAACTCCTCTGGACGAACCCCCTTGACGGGGTAAGCAATCCCTTCCGGGGAATATCTTCGTGCTCTTCTTTCCTTTCTCCTTGGTTGGAGGGCTCGGCCTTTGTTGCTCCCCCATTCTCGTCCTCGGACCCTTGAGTACTTTAGTTTGATTCGGGCATCAGTTTTCCCCCATATCCGAGGGAGTCTTTTGGTCAGGGATCGGTACAGGTCCGTGATCCCTGGCCAAGCCGAGCCGGAATTATGCTGCTGGCCATGACCTCCGGAGCATCCTCGACCTCATTGACTTCTTCCCAGTATCGGATGGCGTACTGGCGAAGAGTCTCGGATTCCATCCTCCTGAGGGTCAGCAGTGATCCGATGTCCTTTGGGTCGCTACTCCCCGTGATGAATCGGGTGAGGAACTGCCTTGTCAATTTCTTTCCAGGACCCAATACTGTTTGGGGGAAGCGCCTCGAACCACCTCATCGCGGAGTCCCCAAGCTCATAGGGAACACCCGGCAAGAAACCGTTGGTCCGAATGATAAGGGACATCATCTGCTTATACTGTCTGATATGGGCATCGGGATCAGATCGCCCATCATAGGGTCTTGAACCGTGGCACGACGAACTTTCTTGAGAAGTCCATCTCACTGATTTCCCTTGTGAAGGGTGTTTGCATGACTTCATCCTCGGCCGTCTGTGCTGGATTGTCTTGCCCTTTCTTCTGGAGTCCAATCGGGCTCTGAGATCTACTTCCCTTACGGGATGCCTCCTGAGGTCTCTGGTTCGTCGGTAAGCCCCTCGTTTCCTGGGCGTCGTGTAGATTGGGTTGAGTCCTCCTCGGATTCATCTCCCCTCCTCCGTCTGGATAAACCTCGCCGGAGGTCGTCCAGGGCCAAGGGCCTTGCCTTCCTGGAATGGTTGTCAAGATGGCGTTCGCCGGCATTGGGTCGCTTCGGGGCCCTGGAGCTCTCTGCTTTGTGATCCAGGTGGTTCCTTAGATCCTTCGTCTCCGCCTCATGGACGGGGAGTCATCGGGAGAGGAATGAGTCCTTCGTCCCTCCGCCTGAGGCAACAAACTCGTCGAGCCGGCTAAGGACGTTTACATTGTCCTTCTCCAGCTGACGTAATCTATCGCCAAATTTCTCTTCTATCACCTCTGCCAGCTGACGGGCCAAGGGGGCTGTTCCTCCTGACCTGATCCCCATACTGGTTTGGGGGGTTACCCCCCTTGACCGAGTAGAGACACTTTTAACCGTACTGGCCCGATCCCTCCCCCGCGATGGCAGGGAGCCTGCAACTCATGACTCCGTTGGTGGGGTCCTTTCCCTTTCTGTCTGGTGTTCACCATGGTCACTGTTCTTTTTAGAGAAAAGATTTGGAAAACTACTCGTTTCCCACAGACGGCGCCAGATTGTGCGGGCTTGATCCTGCACGATATATATAAAATATTGGGAACAGATCTCTCCCCTGGTGAACTTTGGGTGAGCCGGTTGAGTGGCCAAACACACTGCTCGAAACAGCCTACCAGGAACGGTTGGTAATCCGGAACGGTAAAGGCAGATCCTGGGAAAGGAGGAACGATCCTGTACGAGCAAAGGTATTTCCTGGGACAAAAGAGAACAAGTTAGAAGGGCGCCGGAGTGTTTCCGGCGTATCCCCTCCGACGGTCTAGTCAGTCTTTGAATGAGAGAGAGGAAGGAGAAAACACTGAGAAGGATATTTCGTAGGATGAGAGTTTTAGATTGCCTCCCTGCTTTGTCTTTTGGGAGGGGTATTTATACCTTAGAAGATCATGGTTGCTGTCAGTGCGGTCAGTAGGTAATCATCAGGCACAGGTAGCGTGCGTAATCATTTGATGAGGAATGTCTTTTCTAATTGACTGCTCGGGGTCCCGAACAATCAATGCTGAGTCTGTCGGGACGCCGACGGTACAATATGCTCCTGTCGGGAAGGGTGCAATAAATGCTCTGTAATAGGAGCATTTATTGCCTTTCATATCCGAACCTTACCGCATTGAATGCGGTCTCGTCAACAGAAGGGTGCAATTAATTGTTTGCTTTCCCAAGTCGCGTGTCAGCAACGGCATGCGGTTTGTCTGCTTCGGATGTGACACTATTTGCCACGCGTCCATCCCTTGTTGGCTGTTACGTCGGTATTCCAGAACGTTCTGACATTGCTTGTGTAAGAAGAGGTCATGATGACTAATCCATACTGGCATAGGCTGATGTCCAGTATGTCAGTGGCCTTATCCGGGAGTAGAGGAAGCGTCCAGGATGGAGTGACCCTCGGCGCCGAGGAAAAGGCTCACCTCGGGACCAAGGGGTGGTGTGTCCCCGAGGTACATGGTGACCGAGGACACATGTCTTTGTATAATGTACCGAATATGTAATCCTATATGAGAGGTACCTCGGGGGGAGAGGACGCCTTGCCGATGGTGCTCGAACCCGAGTAACATTGTTCTAAAAAACCCCGAGGACACGTGTCTTCATCATAGGCTTTTCAGAAGAGTCCCATCAATACTCTTTCAGACTGTGGCAATAAAGCACAAAGATGGTTACTTTTGAAATTACTCTTTCCTTCTTTTTTTCCCCTTCTCACATTTACTGTGCTTTTATAATATACATAGCTTTGCATATTGGATTGTCTACTCTTTCATGATTTGTACGATTAATGTTGGGTATCAAACATGAATCGGGTCATTTTATGTTTTGTATGAGGCAATCGTATGCTGCCATTGGAATTTCAGCTCTTCATTTCTTATCTGTCGGTGTAAATGTGAGATTATTTGTAAATGAGCAATTTCACCCTAAAAGAGCATGGAGTTTTCATGGACATTTTTGTGGGGCATGGAAATTTCATGTAGTTTGCAAGGCCATACAAGAGCAATTCTGTCCCGTAGATTTTGATCAATTAGCATCTTTGAGAGGGTCCAATAGTATTCCTTGTCTTTTGAAGGTTAAGGGTTCCAAGTTTTTCTTGGTCGATACAAGCGACATATTTCTTATTACCAAAAAAAAAAAAATGAATGGGGCTTTGAATTTCGATCTGAATCCTCCTAGTCAAATCTTTGGTCGGAAAGTTATGGAGATACAATAGAGTAGAGTCGATATTGGGTTTAATAAAGGTCCCAAAAAGGAGTTTTCTTGCCTGATGCTCTGTTGACTTAGGAAGATGTGCTCAACATTCACTCATTCATCATCAATCCCTCCCTCGTTGATCATTGGGCGGGCAGCAATATAAATAAGTGAAATTAAAAGCAAAAAAAAGAATGAATTATAGTTTATGCTGATTGGTGATATGACATCCATCAATCCCTAATACTTGGTCACATGGGGATGGGGTGGTGGAATATTTTATTATTCACTTCAAATTTAAGTATCGGCCAACCAATCGTTGACTCACTGGAGTTCTTGCAAGGCCTTTATATATGTAGATCTATACCCTTTCGCTCTTCATCCTCCAATCTCTGGTGTCTTACACTGGTGGTGGTGGCGGCAGCGGTGGAGCTGGGAGTGGTCAATTTCAATTTGGTGAGTCTTACTTTTCTGTCTCCTCCATTTCATTGTCTCTGAAACCCCCTGGCTTAGGAGCTTATATATTAGTGATGATAAATTTGATTCCAATGATATGCTGCTGCCTTCACTTGGGATTGTTGGTGTGCTTAAGATGGGGCTGTGTTTCACCAAGCTTTTCGGTCGCCTGTTTTTAAAGAGAGAAATTCAGATTCTTCTGGTTGGTCTTAGCATTGCTGGTAAAACCACAATTATGTACAAGCTCAAGTCGGGTGAAGTTGGCACAACTACCCCTACCCCTACCATCGGTATGCTGTCAATTGACAATCATTTTCTATAGCTTTGTACAAATATGATGTTGAAGTGTGTCATGTGCCTTTCACAAGACAAGTGATATCATATATGTTTAATTACTGGCAGGATTTAATGTGGAGACTGTTGAGTACAACAACATTAACTTTGTCGTATTTGATATTGGTGGTTATGACCTGGTAAGCAACTATTACTTTGTCAAACTCATAATATTCTAAGTTGTGTTTGGATGTGCTTGTACTTTTTTATAATTCTTGATTTTGGTTTGACGGGTTTCAGATTAGAGGTTTGTCGAGGTCCTACTTCCCCAACACACACAAGGGCTTATCTTTGTGGTCGATAGCAATGACCGAGACCGTGTGGTCGACGCCAGAGAAACTCTGCATAGGTTGTTGAGTGAGGTACTAGCTACAATGCTTTGTTACTTGAACTTCCAGAATAATGGACGCAAGAGATATTTTATTTTGTTGGTACCATCTCTCTTTATTTGTCTGCAGGATGAATTAAGGGATGTTGTGTTGCTTGTGTTTGCAAACAAGCAAGATCTTCCCAATGCGATGAATGCTGGTGAGATCAGTGATAAGCTTGATCTTCATTCTCTTCGACAGCGACACTGGTAATATGGATAGACATGCCTCCTCCCCTTTGCTTCACTCCTTTTCTGCATCACACACATACATAATCTGATCTTGCAGGTATATCCAGACCACATGTGCCACTTCTGGAGAAGGGCTATATGAGGGACTGGATTGGCTTTCAAACAAAATTTCTAACAAGGTAAGCTTTAACCATGTACCCATAGTTTTTTGATCTCCTTTGTTCTGCATGTTAATTCATTTTATTTGGTAATTGCAGGCTTAGTGGGTGATCACTCTTTTGGATTGGTTCTGTTTAACTTTGTATGGTTGCACATTGTCTGGAGTATGTATAGTCTATAGATGTAATCTCCATCATTTTATTATCATCCCTTTTGGTGTTTTAGATATTAGTTCATACTGTGGCAATAAAGCACAAAGATGATTATTTTCGAGATTACTCTTTTCTTTTCTTCTTCTTTTTTTTTTTTTAATTTTCCAACAATTCACCAGCAACCAAACACACCGAAGTAAAGCAATAATCAACACAAATATGTGTATATATAACTGCAAATTGTGAATAAAAATTATGAATAAGTGAAACAATAAATTGAAAAAACTTTACACCTACCTGTCATATTACTTGACGATAGGACTTTAATTTACATGTCAATAACAGCAGAGCAATTAAAACTACTACTACAAAAAAAAAAGAAAAAAAAAAGTTTAAAGGCTCAGTTCAATTATTAACCCTATCCTATCCATTAATAGGGCCTTGGGGGTCCTAATCTTCCACTGCTGCATAAAAAATTGCCACTATGCATCTATATTTTTTCTCACAATTTTTGAACCACAGATTGATAGGAAAAAGTCAAACTTGATTTTCCTTTGCTTCATCGCTCTTTTAGGTCATCATAGACCGAGTCCCAAGAGATCGTACATCCCATATTTTAAATGTTTAATTGGACAATATTTGATATGTTATTGTATATTTATTACTGTTATTTTATGGTATGATATAATTATTTTTTTGATATTTTTTCATTATTTTTAGGTCAGAGTGATCATGTTAATGTGAATATGTCATTGTTTATGTGTGAATGTGAATATGTTACCATGTATTTGGTAACATTTTTAGGGGCATTTTAGTATTTTGGTGTCGCAATGTCCTTTGGATAATAGCTACTTTGCTAATACTAAAATACGTTAACTATTACAAAATAACATTTTTTATTACGATGAACAACTTCTATTAATTCAACCCATCGACGCCCTCTATTTTAAGTAATTATTTCAACTAACTTTCATTACCTATTACAATTTCGCTTACACGTTACCCAAATGCAGAAACAAACAATCAAGAAATCTATTAGAAAACCAAATTTTTACCGCAACATAACAAATTAAAGAATTTTTCTTCTAGATTTGCTATCGGCATTTGGATCCAGAGAATAATAAACCAGGTATGCAAACCACATAATCATTCTAGTTTTAGTGGGTTTGATCATGGTTTTTGGGTGGGATTTCATGGGTTTTTCGGTGGGAATTCAATGGATTTTTGGTAGGATTTTAGTGGGTTTTTTTGGTGGAATTTCAATGGATTTTCAGGGGGGTTTTTGTGTGTTTTCCATGGGTTTTTTGATGGAATTTCAGTGATTTTTGGTGGGTTTCAGTGGGTTTTAGGTGGATTTTCAGTGGTATAAATACACACAGTTTTTTTTTGTGTGGTGTGTGTGAGAGAGAACTCCATACTCGGGTGGACGATGAACCTTCTGTGCGATGATGAGACGAAATCGGGGTGCTATGGAGCTTTTGTGAGAGAGTCAGGAATTTGGGGGTGCTATGAAGAGACGAAATTGGCACAAAAATGAGCTTTTGTAGAGAGGCTAGCTAGAAAAAATGAGCTTTGTGGGAAGAATGGAGAGGGAAGAAATAGCAAGGGAAGAATGGTTATTTATGGAAAATAGCCAGTCAAATACATTGGAATCAAATTTTGTGGAGAGGTTATCTAAAATAGTTAAGAATTTCTCTTTCTCTTAGGAGCCCAAAAGTAAAATAAAGTGTACCGAAAATCAAAAATACCCTCCAAAACACCCGCACAGAGACGAGTAGTATTACTAGAACGGGTGAGTTGGGTTAAATTGGATTGGGTTAAAATAAATTCAATTTATTTTTTATTCACATAGTAAATGAGTTATGATGGGTTGGGTTAAATCGATTAACCCATAAAATAATTAAATTCTTAATAGACACATTAATACATCAAAATACACACATATATTAGTAGTACACCAAAATACAAACATATACACATAGATACACCAAAATAAATACAAATTAATACATTAAAAATATACATATTAATACGTTAAAATACACACTAATACACCAAAATATTACACACATATATTAACACAAAAACTAAAGCACATTTAATCAAAAAATTACGCACAATAGGTCGAGGTCAATTGTGGGTCATGGGTCGATCTATGGGTTGTGGGTCAACCTGGTATGGGTATGATACATTTATTTAATTTTATTACTTGTACTATTTAATAAAAAAATAATTGTTCAACCCAATGGGTATTCATTTATAATCTATATTAACCTGCTTAATTACAATGAATCATATTACCCAATTCATTTAGAATTCATATTAATTAATATAAATCCCCAACCCATTTATTTATAAATGGATTTGAAACTTTAAGTATTTCTGTTACACTGCTGCTGCCGGTGGCGGTGGTGGAGACATTTTTCTGTGAATGATCAACAACAACTTCCATTGAAAAAAAAAAAAAACAGTTGGGCGAAATGGGATGCCAGGTCGAGAATTGAAACGCTTCAGTTGGGTGGGACGTTGTTTCACTATAACAAGAATGACCCAATAAAAAAAAACAGAAAGGAAAAATTACACAA